GAAACAGGAAAGAGAAGTCTGAATCTCGATTGGCCAACTCGTTTTGATATTTGCTTGGGAGTAGCAAGGGGTCTAGCTTATCTTCATGAGGAATCACGGGTTCGTATAGTTCATAGGGATGTGAAGGCCAGTAATATTCTGCTTGATTCTGATCTCAATCCCAAAATTTCAGATTTTGGTTTGGCCAAACTTTATGATGACAAAATGACACACATTAGCACCCGTGTTGCTGGAACAATGTGAGATCTTCAACTGTCAATCTCCATACTATTCGTTCATAATTTTTCTAATTAATGATTTCTGTATTTTGTTCATACTTGAAGTAATAACTAATTAGTGGTCACTTTTTCTTGGTTACTGATGTAGTGGATATCTTGCACCGGAATATGCTATGCGTGGGCACCTTACAGAAAAGGCTGATGTGTTTGGCTTTGGCGTTGTAGCTCTAGAAATTGTTAGCGGAAGGACAAATTCTGACTCGAGCTTGGAAGAAGGAAAGATATATCTACTTGAATGGGTATGATTCTGACTTCTTTTGTACTCCTTACACGTTGCCAATGGCTCTAGAATCTAGCTGTTGGTACATTTGATATTTATCATGGCTAAACCTGTTAACACCTAAAATTAATTCGAAGCAATCATGCCACGTGGTCAGAAATCATGAGGTCTGAACTTTGGGTCAACCCATGGTCATCAGGGCGAAAGATTAATTTCTAATCACGGTGATCCGATTTAAGGCTGAGAATGAAGAAGAGTGGAATTTTTAGGCCATTAAGACTGATATGAGGTTTTGAGCTCATAACAGGCTATGATTGAGAGTCTCAGTCACTATGGTTATGACTCTCAGTTACTATGGTCATGATCATGAGTTTTAGGCCAAACCTTCTCAGTCATTATGGTCATGAGAGTCTCAGTCTCATGATCATGAGTCTTAGGCCAAAATACTCTCAGTCACTATGGTTATGACTCTCAGTTACTATGGTCATGATCATGAGTTTTAGGCCAAAAACCTTCTCAGTCATTATGGTCATGAGAGTCTCAGTCTCATGATCATGAGTCTTAGGCCAAAATACTCTCAGTCACTATGGTTATGACTCTCAGTTACTATGGTCATGATCATAAGTTTTAGGCCAAAAAACCTTCTCAGTCATTATGGTCATGAGAGTCTCAGTCTCATGATCATGAGTCTTAGGCCAAAATACTCTTAGTCACTATGGTTATGACTCTCAGTTACTATGGTCATGATCATGAGTCTTAGGCCAAACCTTCTCAGTCACTATGGTCATGAGAGTCTCAGTCTCATGGTCATAAGTTTTAGGCCAAAACCCTTCTCGGTCGCTATGGTTATGAGAGTCTCAGTTATCATGATCATGAGTCATAGGCCAAAATACTCTCAGTCACAACCTTCTCAATCACGACGGTCATGGTCAGGAGACCCTCAGTTATAATGGTCACAATCCAAAGTCTCTCCAAAGACTCATAACCAGCCATGATCAAGACTCTGTTTAAACTTCCAAAATCCTATTTGGACAGTATGTAAGTTTCCGAAGTTCATTTGTTTGCTATGAATGTTTTACGGAAAGGAAAAATCTATAATCTTGAAACTTAGTTTGTTGTAATTTTGGACGGGGATAACAAAATCTTCATTAGATTGAATCTATATTGCTTACTTGGTATCTTTTAGAAAACAAAGCCAGAATAAAGACAAGGTTCAAAATACTTTTAAATTTCTTTTCTTGAGTTCTCTTACCAACCAAAAGGAGTAGAAAAGAAAATAAAGGGTGTTTTTGGGTTGTCTTAAATGGAAAGAAAAGAAAGGATTAGTATAGATTTTGAGGGATAGCTATCCCTCCAATTCTCTCATATGATATCCTCCAAAAAAATTGGGAAGATTTGGAGAGAGAATAGTGGTTAAGTAATACTTTCATAATCTCAAAATTACCCTTAACAATTAAAAGAAGAAACTTGTTATGACACTTGAGTCCCATCTTGTATAAGGGTATGATAGTAATTTGGTTGTTATTTTTTTTTTCTTTTCCCTTCTCTACTTTTTCCAAGCTAGAATATTATCATTTCATTTATTTTCCTTAATAATTCACCCCAACATGAATAAAGATTATTGCTATCTTTACTTTTCTTTTATTTTCTCTCATTTTTAAATGTTTTATTTTTATTTTTGTGAATATAAGAGGAAAAAAAGAACACAAAGTAGAAATTCAAATGCTATGACATGAAAACGAAATGAATTGCCTTGTTCTTCTGATGTTTTCTCTTGTAACAACATTGTATTGCTCTTTCCTTTGTATCTTTGTTTCATTTAAATAAAATCTAACTTAACAAAAAAATAAATAAAATAAATAAATAAAATACATTGAAACCTACTATTATCAAAATGATTGTGAAGTTTAGCATAATTCATTATTCTTGAACATTTCCTTCCACCTTGAATTCTTTTGACTGAATTAAACATTTCCTTCTTCTAGACCTGGCACCTACATGAGAAGAACCGTGAAACTGAGCTGGTGGATCCAGAGTTATCTAAATTCAGCGAGGAAGAAATAAAACGAGTGATTGGCATAGCTCTTTTGTGCACCCAAACATCACCACTGCTGCGCCCATCCATGTCACGTGTAATGGCAATGCTTTCTGGAGATATGGAAGTGACCCCTGTAACTACACGGCCCGGATACCTGACTGACTGGAATTTTAATGATACAACCAGTTTTATGAGCAGCGATACTTCTTCTTCGATTGTTGTGAAGGATAATACCTCATCATCAGGCATAAGCATGATGGCTTCTGCAGACCGCTCGCCAACGACTACACCCATGCTTCCAGAGGTCATCACAGACTGATGGAGAATTGTCTGTTTCTCTGTTAAAAAGGAAAAAAAGAAGAAGAAGAAAATAACATATATATGTGTGTGTGTGTGTACAGAGAAGGTTGAAGTTTTGCTTTGGATTTTGATCAATGTTAATATGAAATGAGTGATTTAAATGACAATGATAGCTGTTGGGTTATTCTCATTATGCTGCCACTGAATTAAATTGTTCTATCATATTCCAAAATGTAGTAGGAATCCAACCTGCCAGCCCTTATATTGTGTTTCAGAAAATTGGGGTAGCAGGTTTTTATTTATATTTATTATTATTATTTTATATTAGAAAATAGTTTGAAAATATTTGATTGACATTTCTACAAAAATATTTGAAAAAATTATTAGATTTTTGGAAAAAAAAAAAAAATATTTTTTAAAATCCCTTTTTCATGAATGATTGTTAGTTAGTCTGATGGTGTAAAAATAGGCGCATAATACTTTGAAATGATGACAAAGTTAGAGCAGCAATAGTATCTACATTGCTGCAAACTAAATTGAATTTTCTTCTCCTAATATTTTAGTGATGTTTTCTTTTACCGATAACTAATGTTAAGATCAATAAAGACATGGTATTTAATCACCTTTGTATTGTTTTTTATTTTTCATATTCTAAAGTTCCCACCAAAAAAAATATCTAGATTTGTTTGATGAGTGTTTGCATATGTATAATATACGAAAAAATATATATATATATACATCCTTCAAAAAAAAAAAGAAATATACAAATTAAAAAGTAAAAAAAAAAAAAAAAAATTCGTATAAATAACATAGAGATAAAGTGGTTTAAATAGAAAGCATTGTTTGTCCCATCATATCGACTTAAAGAAATTTATTTATAAATAAAAATAAATAGATAAAGAAAATTTGAAGGCAAAGGAACAAAAAAAACTACCATTGTTGCATAATGCATCTTGAATTATTTTTTAGACCAACTCAGCCTCTCAACTATAAAAATATTGCATATTGCCCCTTGACCAATTTCCAACGAATAAAGGGACGCAATTACTCATTTATCCCTTTCTTATTAATTTATTATAATTTATAAAAGATATAAAATATCCAAAATTCTGATAATACCCCCAGTTTTTATTTTTATTTTTGTCTTCTTCATCTTCCCCGCGACTGTTCGGCGTGGTTTGTAGGGAGCCGAAGACCATTTGTTACGGGCGACTAGGTTTGCAAACCCATGAACGCAAACAATGAAATTGACCTAGGGCTTGGAGGGGTTTCACGATTCCACCGAATACAAGCCGAAAAAGGAGCAGAGAATCTGGAAATCGATCGAAATGGTCCATGCCGGCGACGGAAGTATAGGGTTCCGGGTAGATTCTGGTTGTCAGATCTGGGCGAAGAGAAGACATCAGAAGAAAATAAATATGGATATATATATATATATAAGTTTGTTTGACGTCTTCCTTTCTTGCCCATCGCCGGAATCTCGCACCACGCGTCGCGCCAAACGCTCTCTGTATCAGACTGTATCGCCAACCTGCAACTTCCGATAATTTCGCAGGCGTTCTGTTTTCTGCCATCATCAGTCCTTGTCGCCGACCACCAATCAACTCTGCCGTCTTCACGACCATCTCGCAGCCGTCCTCTGTTGTCGACGTTCTCCGAGCACAACCTTGCTCGCCGCCGGCCTCGTTTAATCTTCCGCGGTCATCAGTTCATCAAGGTTGAATCACACAGCAGATCACCGGTAAGCTTCTCCACCGTACGTCGACAACTCTTGCTGCAGGCCTCGAGCACCATCTCGGGTTTTCACCTCCACGCCTCCAACAACTCACGACCTCCAGCCGTGGATGGTCCAGACAGAGTTTTGCAGATAAGTGAGAGAGAGAGAGGCTGTGAGAAGAGCAAGCGGATCGGCCAATAGTAAGATGATGAAGAAAATTATAAAAATCTGAGGGCATTATTGGAATTTTACACCCATACTATTTTAAACTCCTCTTCCCAAAATAAATAAACATCATGTTTTTTTTTTTTTCTTCTTCGAAATAATAGTCCACTTTTATATATATATATATATATATATATATATATATATATATATGTCTTTTGAATTTAAAATTTTAAACTTTAATAGTTAAAATTTAATTAGGTAAGTTAGTAATTTTGAATTTAAAATTTTAAACTTTAATAGTTAAAACTTAATTAGGTAAGTTAGTAATTTTTCAGACGGCACTCAAATTGCGACTCTGCCCCAATTTAGAGGTCACTTTTGGAGGGTAAAAATTTTTAAAGAGACAAGTCTTGTTTCCCTCAAAAGTTACTAATTTATTCTTATATTTGAATTTAAAATTTTAAACTCTAAGAATATATATGGAAAGATATAAAATATAGTATTGTTTAAAAAAAAAAAGTAGATAATTATTTTGGCACAGACCAAAAACAAAAACTTCACATTTCTTTTTTGAGACAAAAGGAGTAATAAATAAGGAATAAATTAGTAATTATGTCCCAATAATTGGTTAGAAATTAACCTCAGCTGGCCGAAAAGTGGTGTGAAGGGGCAATATGACAATATGCAATGTTTCTATAATTGAGGGCTGAGTTGTTTCAAAAAATAGTTGATGCAACAATGATATCGTGTTGTTGTATTTTTTTGTTTTGGTTTTTTTTTTTTTTTTTTTTTTTTTCTTCCCTCCAAATTTGAATAACAAAATAGGTTGACTTGGAATGACAACCTTCCTGCTTGATATGTCTGACCAATGAAAGGTCCAAAGTAGTGTTTCTAGATATATACTGTATATTTTTTCGGAATTAGTTCCCTCTCTAGATATATAATGTGTGCGCCCCTAATGCATATATTACGTAGATGAATTTTCTATCTGTACTTGTCATTTACTATTTCATGAATCAGTTAAGGTTGGCGGGAAGACATTGAAACTCGATCATGGGTGGATTATCATCTGTATGCTGCATAATAGCCTTCTGCTTCTTTGCCATCTTCTTTGGCCGCTTGGATACAGCTCGAGCGCAAAATCAAACAACTGCTACTACAGATCCTTCTGAAGGTACCATCTCTCTCTGATCTGTGTGTGTTAAAAATTATACATGGTTTTTGGAAGTGTTTGGAATATTTGAAAACTGGCTATCTTAGTCTGGTCTAATCCATTTGTTACTTATTTTTGTGAGTAAGTAGTTGTTGTTGAAATTTTACATAATTTTTAATTTGAACCTTTGATGACGTGGCTTAATCACATCCACACTTATTTTTATGAGTAAGTATTAGAAAAAAACTAGGCTACTATCAATTCATATGCATCTATGAAGAAAGGATTGAAAAGAAGGTTTTTTTTTTCCTATATCTGTAATTTGTTTGCTCTATTTATAATCTGGAGATTACAGATTTGAAACCCAAAATAGCTTCCCTATGTTGAGATAAGATCACGTAATTCTAACCTTCTTCGGACTCTGTAAAGATGGTCTCAAGAATGTTTGTGTTTGGGTTTAAAAAAAAAAAAAGTTTGTGTTTGAACTTTGAAGGCAAAAACATGTAAAAAGGAAAGTGAGAGAAGCTTTTTCATCCCCATTTCCTTTAACTTTTTAAGAGGAAGGAATATGATGGGTTTTTCCCTTTCAGTTTTCCCTTCTAAATCTATCCTTTCGATCTTCCCTCTGATTCCTTCCTCAATCCAAGCTGACCATTTCTTGAATTAAGTAAGAAATGTCAAAGAAAGAGACAGTTTTACCATAGAATAATGTCAACTTGCGACCAGATAAGCAGCACATGGGCTCAATTTTCTTTAGTTTTGGGCAGGTCAGATTTGTGTATTCATTGGTCGACCCTGAAGTTTACTTTATAGCCTTTTAGATTATTAATTAGAGTTTTAGTTTGATTTTTCTATTTTTTTTTTCTTTTATTATTATTTTTAATTTATTTTTCACGTGTGAATAAAAAAATTTATAATATTTATGCTTTAAAATTAATTTCTCACCTCGACTTACTTTTTTATATTTTAATTTATTTCAACTTGGATCATGTCAAATTATGTCAACCGCCTTCTTCCACTTCAGCTGAGGCCGATGTTGATGACCCTATCTTTATTGTTTTCCCCTCACGTCCGAAATAATAGAACTTCTCCTTTAATAGAAGCACTCTCAAAGCAGCCTTAGCAATTTAGCTAAGGAACCTCTTAGAATTTACTTCAAGGACAATATATATTTAATGGAGTTCTAACAAAATAAAATATTCTAAGAGGTATTAGCTAAGGAACCTCTTGGAATATTTTATAAATGAAATTACATTGATGTTGGTTTGGGAGAAGTGAATGTATGTTGTTTAAGCTGAATAACATGGTTGGTTGCAGCAAGGGCCTTGAATTCTATCTTTCAAAAATGGAGCCTTTCTGCATCAACCGAATGGAACATAAGTGGAGAACTATGCAGTGGTGTCACCCTTGACAAAACCACCATTGACAACCAAATGTATAACCCTGTTATCGTATGTGACTGCTCTGACAACAAGACTTGCCACATTACCGGACTGTAAGTATTGCTTTGCTGTCACTGCTTTTGTTAATGCTTACATATTGCATTTTTAAGGGATTCCAATCTCAAATTTCATTTGGTTTAATGACAAAACACGTGTCCCATCTGTTTGACATATGGTCCAATTTGTTATCTCTAAGATTGCATAGGTGAAGTCAGGGAAAAAAAAAAGGTATTTTGTATGACAAGAGATTGAATTTATGATCACTTGTATCATAAGAGTGCATAGCAGTAGTAAAAATAAAAATAAAAGTAAAAATTTGAACTCTACACTCTTATGAGATAGAAGTAATCATAATTCATCTCTTTTCATAAGTAACACCCTGGTTGCATTTGGTATTGACTAATTAACTAGACAAGTAAAACCAAGGAACAAAATAGTGATAATAGAGATACTCATAATCTTGAAATTACAGACTTTTCACAATGGATATATTGCAACCATCTAGTGGTGTATTGCGGGAATTTCAAAATATTTGATGTATTGCATATTTTCAACCATGTATTGGTATTGAAAATCTTGTAAACAATCAAGGTTGTTAGGATTCTGATCCTTAATAATGTAAAACAAATGTGCATGTAGATGAAGGTAGAATCCTTGCATATGTAATTTGTTTTATAATACCAAAAACAAATTACATATGACATAATAACCTACACCAAACAACTTCATGGATAGTTGCAAGTACCATCCAAACAAACAAATCATCAGATTTTTTCTCTTTATGGTCCATATCAAATGGAGTTCCTATTTGCTCGAAAATCAAGAATTGTTTTCATTTCTTAACTTGGAGGAGGAGTTGAGTTCTTAAAAGTTACTTGAGTATATGGATGTCATACAATATTCAGAAAATCTGGTCCAGAAGTTGATATGCCTTTGAAAACTCCGAATTTACTGCAAACTTTTTGTAGCCACACCTACCATCTTGATGTATTGGGTACTCTCTTTGCCAATTCTATAAAGATACGAGTACCCTGCTTGTCCATATTTACAGCAATGACCCATCTCCACGTGGCAATATATCCACAAGGCTAATGATACTTTGTAATATATCTTAACGTTATGTTGTTCTAAGATCGTGTAGAAGTTGTATGGCAACTTACCTTATACGATGTTGATGATTGCAATATATATATATATATTTTTTATTTTTGTAATGTTTTATTCTATGGAAAAGGATTGTATTTCAGTGAAGTTCATTGGTCTCATTTGTGATCGAAACTTTATTTAATTTTAATTCACTTTAAAAGATAGAAGCTAATGTATTATCCTTAGGCCTGAATTTCATCTTGGTATTTGTGCTTTCCCATAAATGTGGGTGTTATTTCATGATCTTCAACCTTGTCAAATTGATCATAATTATTTTGTTAAATGTGCACATCAACAAATTAATTTTCCTGTTGGAAGTGGATGAAGTTCAATCAAATTCGAAGTTCGAAACTACTCTAGAATATTTTGTTTTGGTTTTGGACTTCTTTGGACTTCCACAAGTTTCCACACAAGAGGCTAAAATATAATAGGAGTTTGAAATTCAAAATTATGGTTATTAACTTGAACGTCTAGAATATGTTAAAAAATTCACCTAATACTTGGTTGCTTTACATTTTCTTTACAGGAAAGTTTATGCAATTGATGTTGTTGGTGTAATCCCGGATGAGCTATGGAATTTGACTTTCCTCACCAATTTGTATGATTACTTCATTTACATACTAATTTACCAGAGTTGCATTCCCATTTACTACTTCTGTTCTATGTGTAAGCTACTAGAAAAATACAGCCCTTCAAATTATGGTGCAAAAGAGTAACAGATCAAAGTATATGATAAGCGTGGCATGCTAGTATTTCATCATTGGTCCTTTAAGATTCTCTGGTCTGGTGTCAGTGATGCTAAAGTTTCTTTCATTATTGCAGGAATTTGGGTCAAAATTATTTGACAGGTTCCCTGTCTGCCTCTATTGGAAATCTAATTCGAATGCAGTACCTGTAAGCACAACTTATTTTTTATTTAAAATGTAGAGGTCATTGAAAATTCTATGTTTAACATACTTCTTTAATGTTCTGATAGTCTTTTTAATGTCCTCAGGACCCTTGGCATTAATGCATTATCAGGGGAGCTTCCAAAGGAACTTGGGAACCTTACTGATTTAAGATCACTGTAAGTTATTCTTGACTTCATATGTCTTTAAGAGGCAGGTTGATGCTCTGATCTTTTATTATGCAAGGTCCTTTTATGAGACTGACACTATCTTTTATACGTAGGTACCCTTTTCAACAAATGTTTTCTTTAAAATGACGCGTAGGAATACTTCATTAATCAATTATTGTGTAAATTTAAGTCTCTAGGTATTATAGCATGTAGATCTTCTTTGTTACTAATCAAAAGAGTTAATATACATCAACCATATACGTGTTTTCTGTTATGCTATTTATGAACTTCATCTTTGATGATCCGGAATTATGAGAAAAGAAACCTTGGAAAATTATATTGATGCTGTTGAGTTGTTAACTTGCAGGTCTTTTGGGACGAACAACTTCTCTGGCCCTCTGCCATCTGAGCTTGGGAATTTAACAAAACTAGATCAAATGTAAGCCTGACCCAGAGTCATTTATATGGAATTGTTGCTCTTGACTGCCATTGGTATATATAAGAATAGATTTGTGAAGTTCATATAGAATACCCATTAATGTACTAAAATACATGACATTTAGTCGCAAGGAATTCTTGACTTTTTGCAGTTCAGTTGTAATAGTATATAGTTCACATTTATTGTATAATTGAAGATTCCCTCGGTGCACATACTGCTTAGATGTAGAAGCTCACCGAAAACCCCCATTCACTTTCCTCTTTTCACGTCCTTATAAATTCCTTTATTCTGTAACTGAATATAATCCAATAATGAAGGAATTCCATCTAGCTTAGCATTAGCTTTAGATGCTGAAGTATAAACACCTCTTATGAGATCTCTAGGGAAGGAAGTACATATTATACTGGTAAAACTTTGTGCAGGATATGACAACATCCAATTTCAATTCATAACAAATCTTTGGAACTAAATTAGATTGACAAGTATATATTTATATGGATGGTCTTGCTTGGTGGGTCCTGAAGGATATTCTGCATTGATGTAGGAACCATTAAGAATGACCATAGCTTTCCATTGTGATGGCAACTTCTCTTCAAATATGATGTATCTCCAAGTATTGTGATGCTGCGATGACTGTATAATAATGTAACTGCTCGCTACTATAATGGTCACTACTATAATGCATTTGCTAGCAGATATTGTTTGATGGATGCACTTTTCTAAAACCATAATACACTAAAAGGTCTAAACTAAATCCTCAATTGCTGATATAGTCATTAGTTTCACCACATTAAACACTCAACACCTTAAAATTTAAGACTTAACTAGGAAATTTTTTTTTTTAAGACTTACTGAGCATATAACATTTCCTACAACCATCTTATTCTGTGGTCTAATTTACTGTTCTATTTATTACAATCTCCTTTTCTGCTCCCAGTTAAATTTTGAGTCTTTGTGTGCACATATATATATTGTTACAAAGCTTTTAGATTTCTGGGCCATACTATGCACCATCCTTCTATAATGAATATCATAGTCACTCAATAAAAAGTTCAATCTGCGAAATGTAAATTTTATTTTTATTTTTCTAGTGACTGATTGCCACTTATTCTTGGGAGTTGTCAAATCTCGATAGATCCTCCATTAAGAAAACTTGAATTTTGCTGGTCAAGGACAAAAATTGTAGCACTGGTTCTTAATATTTTTTACCATGACAGTTACTTTGATAGCTCTGGAGTTAGTGGTGGGATACCTTCAACTTTTGCTGCTCTAAAAAACCTGAAAACAGTGTAAGAGATTTCTATTCTAATATTATTGAAAATTTATCATGTATACATTTTATTAGAATAAGTTGTTTCCTTTATCAAATTTGCTGAGGTTGAATTTTTGGAGCCTCTCAGGTGGGCTTCGGACACAGAACTCTCAGGCAGCATACCTGATTTCATAGGGAATTGGTCAAGCCTTACTACTTTGTAAGTCAGTATTCTACACCAAGTTTTGGATATTCTCTTTATATATATTTAGTTACTCCTCAATTTTAGATCTTTACCATGATATTCAGCTTCAGAAGCTCTCTTGCATAGTCTATGATCAGCTTTGTATTTATGCTTCTGTAGGAGGTTTGAAGGAAACTCTTTTCAAGGTCCCATACCATCAACATTTTCCAATTTAGTCAATTTGACTGACTTGTAAGTGTTAAGTTTTTTAGTGGCTTTTATTCATATTACGCAGATCAGTAAAACCAATCTTTTATTGTATAATATACTGTTTTCTTATGTATACAGGAGAGTAAGTGATTTATCCAATGGGAATGGGAGCACTTCGCTGGATTTTATTAGAAATATGAAGTCTCTAACCATCTTGTAAGGCGATACAGTTCTAGCATTATCTCATCATCATCATAATCATCATCCTTGCCTTTATATCCGTATCCCATACGGATATGAAGTCTCTAACCATCTTGTAAGACAATACAGTTCTAGCATAATCTCATCATCATCATCATTCTTGCCTTTATCCCATATGGATGTGTTAGATACCTTGTGTAAAATTGACCAATTAAAAAAAAAAACTAATAATCCAAAATATATTGCTAGATTAAAAAATTTATGTAGATATCACCAACAAAACTTTAGGGTATTTATGACTCTCCCATTGCCGGTACCCAAGGTCGGATGTGAAATGAGGTTGGTGTCAGGTAGATGACTGACCGTAAAAATTTATATCAAATCTCTACAATGAATTCTCTTTCAAATGGTTCTAGCATAATCTGTGTATAATTTTTGTTAATTATTTTATGTTTCCCTATTTTCTTTTCTAAATGTCTAATGTGACAAACATTGCTCTTTGTGAAGGTCTAATACAACAAACTGATTTTATCTACTGCAGAATTCTGAGGAATAACAATATCTCTGGTTCTATTCCAACTAATATTGGAGAATACAGAAGTTTGTTGCAATTGTAAGTTACTCCTATTGAGAAGTGATTCTTCAGATAGATGAAGACTGGTACTGTGTCAGGTTGTTTTGGGTTGGTCCAAATGTACTTCAACCTGAAACTGGCCAGTTGATTATCGGGTTAGGGAATTGGGGGTCACAAACAGCCCGCCAAGAAGTTAATATATAATTTAAATTTTGTGTATTATTAGTTAGTACAATTTTGCTTTATTCATCTTATAACTATGTGCTTTTTAAAGTTTGCAGGGATTTAAGCTTCAATAATTTAACCGGAGGAATTCCACAATCACTCTTCAATTCGAGTTCACTCTCTTTCTTGTAATGAATATCTTCTTTTCAGCTGTTTTAGAGACCACCGAAGATATACTCCTTACTGTATTGAATTGATTTATTATTTTCTTCCTGCTCAGGTTTCTTGGAAATAATAAATTAACTGGTTCCCTACCTGCACAAAAGACTTCAACTCTTCTCAATGTGTGAGTCATCTTACATAACCTTGCACAGCTTAATTGGAATGTGTGAAATTGTGTTGTTGCCTAATTGAGATGTTCATTCCTATACTGATCCTTTATATAAAGTTTCTTAAATGTTGTGGTTATGTAATTTAAAGAGCATCATATTCTATTGAAGTCCAAGGATATTACACAATTTTAATGTTATATTCCATCCAGCTTTTATCTAGGGAAGCATTTGTTAAACAAACTTGCTACAATATTCTAGAAAATCATGTACGATTCAAGGTGAAGATATATATAGTATGGCAAACTCAAAAGATCACCTAGGATAACAAGACAAAAGTTTACATTTGGAGAGGGACATAAACATTTCAGTGTGAACTACAAACTATTCTGAATCTTCAGGTGTATTTGAAGATTGACTGGTGATTTTCTTATTCTTTCATCCTTATATTGTTTTCTTTTATGGTGATTCCACACACTAAATTCAGGATCCTAGCAGTTATATTCAGTCTTCTTTACGGATTAACAGTATTTGGGAAGCAATATTAGACAAGAATATCTATTTATGATCTGAATAAGTTTTGGAAGCCTATTAGGACCTTTATAATGTTAAAAAAATCGAAGGTAAAAATTTATATATACTTCAACCTCCAAAGTGGAAGATTAAAGTTCTGTCAGAAAGCATGCAGTACGTGATGCTTTAAACAATTACAAATTATTTAGTTCGAGATGTGCCTTCGGCCCTGAAGCCTATTTCTGTCACTCAGTTTTCATTTTTCTCCTAGTGGTATGCATATCCACTTCTGGTTAAACCTGTCATTTAAAAATGTGTAGATTCAATTCTCAGCTGTACAAGTTTAAGAGATGTATGGACCCATCAATGTGTACTTATAAGGTTACAATGGCTATACAAGTATTTCCTTTATACACCAAAGACACACAATTAGGCGCGTGGATAGATACAGTGCAGGACAATATTTCATGAGAATGACATTTTGTCATATTTTAGAAAATTGGAGACAACTATAAACAGTTATATAGGCCTTGTATTTATGTTGTTTTTAAATGATCAATGCAAGTATGGTATTATGTGAGGCCTTTGATTGAATTAAGTCTTTTCAGTGCGTTAATTTAATATTAACCATATTATTGGCAATCACTATGATGGAATGTATTTAATGTTGCATTTATGTTATATCTGCAGGGATTTGTCATACAATGAATTATCTGGGAGCTTTCCGTCTTGGATCAGCGAACTAGACTTGCAAGTGTATGGCAATTTGATGTTAGCTACCAAAATTATGATTTTTTTCCTAGGTCAAAATTTATGATTGTATCTATGAGAAATTGAGAATTCTCTCTCTCTCTCTCTCTATTTTAAAAAAGTCTGGTATACCATCCTGTACCAGTTTCACCTGCATGCTCTTGAATTGAGATTTTTTTTTTCTCCAGAAACATACTAATTTTGCTTATTGCAGTATATGGTTATATTCTGCATAAATTTGATACCTTTGAAACTAACATTGATATTTTTTTGGGGGTGCAATAGCAGTAATTTAGTTGCCAACAACTTCACGATAGACGATTCAAACAGCAGGTGATTCTCTCACTGCCATATGATTTTAAATTTCCTCATTGTTTGAATGAAACAAAATAAATAAATAAATTATTAAATAGTTGCATGCCTGTTAGTTTGTTTTTGCATTGATCAGGGTTTTATCAGCACCTGCTTCAGTGGTCAAATATATGCAGTAGGGCTGCTGATAGCAATAGTGGTGGCTTTTTAAAATGCTGATTTGTCTACCTAAATATATCAAAATGACTACAAATATACAAAATTGTAATGAAAGCTGGTTCTGAAAATATGCGATACCAAATTGCTCTAATCCATATTATAAAATCTGTTTCGCATTGACACTTTCTCTATGCAGTTGATTCACATCTATTGCTTGAGATTATGTAAATCGTTTCCATTAGTTTTCTTCTTGTGTAAAGGTTTTAATTATGTTATATGCAAACGACTGCAAATTTAATTATGTGACAAGTACTACACTAGTAATAATAAGAATCTTAAAAAACTAAAGAAATGAAATTTACATCTACAGACATATTTATATTCAAAGAGACCTTTAAGAAGCGTCATAAATAGAAAAAAATTATATGCAGTTATAAATTTGGTCAAATGACTTGACTAGTTCACGTTGTGGTATATCATCTTCTGAGTTCCATATTATAAAACTGGCTATCATCTGATTTGTATCTTCTGAACTTAAAGATTTAAGTGTCTACAATAATGAGTCCAAATGATTGGTAGAAATCCAGCAAAGGAGATTATCTGAGAAGATTAATAGGATATTAAAAATAAAAAAAAAAATACCCCTGTGGCACAAGTACAAAGAGATTTAAACCGCTATGGAAGATTCTAAATTTAAGGCCACTGCCTTAGTGTTTTTTTCTGCCTACGCAGGCCACAGGGTCTTAGGGGGATGGATTGGAAATCAAACACATTTTTATGCACAAACTGACTACTCTCAAATTCTATCCCGAGTTCTCACACTTGACAACTTGTGCTTTTATTACTCCACCAAGCAATGACTGTTATGAATTTTCTCTTCCCAAAGTCCAATAAACACAAAGCTTGTTTCCTGTTTTCATATAAAACTAATAAAAGAGGCATATTTGTAATTTAGGCTCCGTTTGTTTGGATGTAAAATATTTTTCAGAAAATATATTTTTTATTTTCTATTGTTTGGTTGTCGTAATATATTTACGAAGAAAAAAAAAAATGTAACAAAAATAACTTACGCATCAATTTTCGGCAAGTTATTTTACACACTCCGCCCGATGAACTCGACCTAGACCTTTGCCAAACACCGAAAAATAAAAAATAAAAAAATATTTTACCTGAAAATGGAAAATCTTTTCCGAGGAAACAAACGGAGCCTTAAAATCAATTTCCACATGAAGTTTCTGACATCATACCGATGTAGCATTACTAATACAACTCCCTTTTGTTATTCCGGAAATATTCAACTTACAATTTCCTGGGTGCGAAGCAACGAATCAATCATTTACCAAGACAATTATAGGTTTCCTCATTGAATTGCTTGTTAAGGAGAAATGCTTATTTATCTTTCATTATCATACTTTTTCTCTTTTCAGCAATACATTTCTTTAAATAAATATTAGAAAAGTCGGTGGTTGATGTTGCTTAGAGCCTCAGATCCATCAGATATGACATGTTTCCTAGATAATATGCATTCTTATTTGCTTTCAGTGTTCTACCTTCTGGACTGAGATGTCTTCAACGGAATTTCCCTTGCAATCGAGGATCTCCAATCTGTAAGTGCAATATGAGAGCTTTCTCTGAGTTTTGTTTGAGACCAGAACATAATCAAATATAGGCATGCATTGTGAGGCCAAAAGGAAATGATCTATATGAGGGTTATTGACCCTTTGAGGAGTAGTATCAATAATCATAAAAAATTTACTGATTATAAGACAGAATAAATTCGGATTCAAAACAATAATTAGGGGCCTTTTGTGAATTAGTAATAGTATGGGTTTTTGCTAAACCAACTTTATGTTTGTTTAGGTTGCGTTAGGGTCATTTTTAGAATTTATTTTTCGTAGTCATCATCAAAATATTTTTGGCAACTCCCAAACAGACACTAATTTATTTATTTTTTTCGGAGGATGTATGTCCCTTTTAGGGTGTTAAACAAAAAATTTCATAGCTCATACAAAAATGCGGTGATCTTAATGGATTTTCTGTCTCCGAGTGTTTCTGTTTTAAGTCAATTTTTTTTTGGTTCTAAAAAAATTGATATTTTTGTCGCTGCTAGTTAAAAATAAAAAAACACTAAAATAATCCAAACATTTTTTTTAACTAAAAAAATTATTTCAGTTTTTGTAAATTCATTTTTTTTGTCCTTTAGGATTATCGCAACTACAACCTTTAGCAGGGTTATATAAAAAGAAGTCTTTACAAGATATAAGTCCACTAAAACCAGCCAGCTCATACTCATACTGGTTTTCATGGTTCCCAACAGAACTTTATCTAGTAGAGAATGTGATTTAAGAAGAAAGGAACATTAGGAAGTCCACATGGATCATGCTTCAGACCTCGTGTAATTGAGTTTAGTTTTCAATAGAGGCATATTGTATTCTTATTTTTGGTTAGTTTGCTATCACAAGAATTTTCTTTGATTTTATTTGCTATTATTTTAACACAAAAAACACCGCTAGCATGTCTCTATTTCATTTACACCCCCTTCAATTCTACTAATTATTTCCCATCTAGTTCACCATCCTTTTATATTTTTTGTCTTAAATATCGAAGATGGTTACTCGACTAACCCTTTGGTTTTGAAGTGTGATCATTGTATTATCAATATCTGACTCTCTAATACCAATGGGATTAGCCCAGATGGTATGATCTCTCCTCCCCAAAGGGGAGGGTTGAGTGTTCAAGCCTTGCTAGGGGCAATAATGTGGATGTGTGTGCGATTGCTTGAACTTTAGGCAAAAAAATAAAATAAAAATCTGGCTCTCTGCTAAATTTACTTTCCATGTATTCAATTTTAGTCCTACTAACTTTTAAACCTTTTATTTTAATTCATTTCTTCGCATTTCTAATTTTGTGACCAAATTTTATTTAGAAGGATCTAATAGCACTATGTCATTAGCAAACAACATTCACCATGGAATGTCCCATTGTAAGTCTATTTTGGGAGTCAAGGGTATGGTTGTAATTATTTTAATTTGATGGACTGGGCTCCATTAGTGGATTATTGGTCTATTTTTCAGTCAAACTGTGTTATTATATTGCTATTAGTTGTTTTTTGTTGAGCCTATAAGAACTATGATTTTTTAGGTATAGAGTAATCTTAATAGTCAAAATATCAAAGTTTTTGACTGTAGGAGAACTATGGAAACCTATAAATGCTGTGGAATTAGTTGAGTTAGTAGAATGAGATTGTGACATCTGTGATGCAACCTATACTTGGGAGATAAAAAATCCATGTACTTTTATGTGAGTTTTCTAGATTCTTTTTCGTCTTCTCCTCCTGTTTATTTACTCTTCATGGTTTATAGTTCATAGTCCAGAACAACTCCTATTTTATCTCGTTCTCCATAAGTGGTGTATAAGCGGAGTTATCCATAAAAATGAAAATGATTTTTTTTGAAGAGTTAGAAGTGGCACTAATTGAAGGTAAATGGAGGTAAAATCATCTAAGAATGTTTATCCATGTGCATTTAGTAGACCTTCTAACGTTCTGGTATGAAGGAAATCTTTTTATTTAAGTTGAAAACGTGAAATGAGGACAAGAGGAAGGCTAAAAGGAACTGTTAGCATTTATGATACCACGATTTATGGTATAACTTACCATAATAGCAGAGATTTGACTATGCATATAATAGCATATATATGATACCACGATTTATGGTATGACTTACTATAATAGCAGAGATTTGACTATGCTATAAAATATGCCATAGAATATGCTTTAGAATAAGTTGTGATTTGATTTTGATTTGATTTAGTTTCCTTTCTTATAATATGAGCATGTGCTCATTCTATCTATAAATACTAGAGCTGTGAATGGGTAATTAATCTCATTCAAGCCTTTACGCAATTCTCTCTTTTCTCTTCTTGTTATATATTTCTACTTGGTATCAGAGCCAACACCTTTCCACACCTTTCAGCAGCCTTGCTACTTGTGCGACAGCTACCTTAGGCTGTTTGTGACATCGTGTGACGTTGCCTACACATGTTTTTCTGTGTTGTTGTTTTGTAATCGAAAACAGGTATTTTTAAGTTTTACAATTTCTTTTTCACTCTTCTAGGGTTGGGTAAATTGGGATAGTTGGTCTCCAACACCTAGAAGGGCTTGGATAAAAAAAATTAATTTACAAAGAGGTTCCGAATATTAAAAAGGAGGCTGTCTGGCTATATGTAAGCGGACAGCGCTCCTTAAAAAAGGTATGTATTTGGATTTTTCGGGAATGGTTTGAGGAGACATTGTTTATGGTCTGAGGAGACCCTTTTATTTATTAACAGAATTTGTGGTGTTTTTGGAGTTCTTTTTATTGTCGTGTGAAAGATTATGGTAGATTCAGGGTCCTCGACTGTTAATTCTCTTGGCTCACGTTCTGTGGGTGGTGGTGCCATTTTTCCCACCAACTCATCAGAAAATCCAGGACTTCAAATCACCACAGTGAAGTTGGATAGTTCCAACTATTTGATTTGGGCACAGTCTGCCAAGATGTTCATTGGTGGCAAAGGCAAGATTGGCTATATTACTGGTTTTGAGAAAGAGCCAGCTAAGTCAGAGAAGGCATATCCACAGTGGTTTGCAGATAACGCTATGGTTATGTCTTAGCTAGTCAATTCGATGCAACCAAACATAGCTGTTGGCTATATGTTTATGAAGACTGCTAAGCAGATTTGGGATTCAGTTCAACGCACTTATTCTCAGAGGCAGAATAATGCACAAATTTTCCAGCTGGGGCAAGATATCACCAGGATTTCTCAGGGTGACTTGACAGTTCCAGGTTACATCGCCAAGCTTCGTGCTATTTAGGAGGAGATGTCATATTATGATTCCTTCGACTCTTGGAAAGATCCAGATGATGCAATTTTATATGCAGGAATTGTGGAGAAGAATCGAGTGTTTCAGTTTCTTGCCAGGTTGAACGACGAGTTTGAGTATGCTCGTGTTCATTTATTGGGCTTATCTTTATTCCCTACTCTTGAGGATGCATATTCCTATGTGTTGTCAGATGAGAGCCGCCGGACTCATCCATTAGATGTTGCTTCTGTTGATCGTTCTGCTATGGCAGTTCGGATTCCCAACCTTTCAGGAACTTCACCATCCCAGTCAGTTCAGAGCATTACCACCGGTCCTCCTCTGGGACGACAACGTGGACGGTGTGACCATTGCGGAAAAATTGGTCACATCAAATCTCGTTGTTACGCTCTACATGGACGTCCACAGCAACAGAAACAACAGCCTCGATCCTCTGCACATTCTGTTACACAACCAGTCTCATTGTCAACTCCTGACAACCCTGCATCTACATCTTCTGCAACAGTTACCTTGACTCAAGCTGATTTGGACAAGTTCAAGCAATTCTTCAACCAAATGGAGGCATCATCACAGCCAACCTCCACTTATGCCCACTCTGGTACTATTGCGTCTGCACATAGCGTATCTACATCTTCAACACCATGGATTATTGATTCTGGTGCTTCAGACAATATGACTGGTATGTCCTCACTCTTCCAATCTTATAGTATCTGCTCTGGCCAACGCAAGGTCCGCCTTGCGGATGGCTCTCCATCTTCCATTGCTGGGAAGGGTCACATATCAGTTACTCCTTCATTAACTTTGTCAAATACACTTCATGTTCCAAAGTTGACTACAAATCTTATTTCTGTTAGTAGCGTTACCAAACAATTAAATTGTAGTGTAACGTTCTTTCCCTCTCATTGTATTTTTTAGGATCTGGTGTCGAAAAGGACAATTGGCAGTGGGCGTGAAGTGGACGGTTTATACCTGTTGGATGCTCCTTTGTCACCTCAAGCACATTCAGCTTCATTTTTTAATATTGTTTCATCTAATAAAGCCCAGCTTATGCCTTGGCACATGCGTTTAGGACATATTTCTTTTGGTTATTTGAAACATTTATTTCCTTCCTTATTTTGTAACGTGGCAGTGTCAGATTTATCCTGTGAAACATGTCATATGGCTAAACATGTTCGTTCCAATTATCCTGCTAGTAGTAATAAATCTGCTTTAACACCTTTTGATCTTGTTCATTCAAATGTGTGGGGTCTTTGCCCAGTTACTTCTAGTCTTGGATTTCGATATTTCGTGTTGTTAATTATCATAGTCGTGTTACTTGGGTTTATCTTATGAAAACCAAAAATGAGGTATACACCTTTTTTAAAAATTTTATGACAATGGTTCAGACTCAATATGGTTGTACCATTAAAAAATTCCGATCTGACCAGGGTATAGAGTACACTTATGGGGAGGTACAATGGTTATGTACAGAATTTGGGATTGCGCATCAACTGGCTAATGTTAAAACTCCTCAACAGAATGGTCGTTCTGAGAGAAAGAATCGCCACATCCTTGACTTAGCTAGAGCAATCTGCATTGGCATGAATGTTCCCCAGTCATTTTGGGGAGATGCAGTTCTTACCGCTGTTTACATCATTAATAGGACTCTTTCTAGGATTCTTAACTTTGCAGCCCCACTCTCAATCTTACATCCTAATTCATCTCTATTTTTTATTCCTCCACGAGTCTTCGGGTGTGTGTGCTTTGTTCAGCATCATACAAAGCTTGACCCCAAGGCTTTGAAGTGTGTTTTTGGGCTATTCTCACTCTCAAAAAGGTTATAGGTGTTACCATCCTCCCAGTCGTCAGCGGTTTATATCCATGGATGTTTCTTTCTTTGAGCATACACCATACTATGGTGGTTCAGTTGGTTCTCAGAGTGAATGGTTCCCATTGAATATAATGGATGATCACCTTCTTCCGTCTTCAACTCCTCTACCATTACCTATTTCTTCTTCTATAATTCCTCCTCTTGATACCCCTCTAGCAGGGGGAATTGTTCCTTTTTCACAGGTTTATAGTCGGAGACAACAGGTACAAACTTCTACTCCCATGATCGACTGCCCTATTCCTTCGGCACCAGCTCTGCCTTCTCAAGCTATTGTTTCGCTTGATGATCACCCCATTGCTCTTCGAAAGGATAAATGTTCTTGTACTTACCCTATTTCTAATTTTGTTTCTGATTATGCTCTCTCACCCTCCTATCGGAGTTTTCTTGTTTTTGTTGCCTCGGTTCTTGTTCCTTCCAGTGTTGCAGATGCGCTAGCACAACCTCAATGGCGTGATGCTATGACAGAAGAACTACAAGCACTTGAGAAAAATCAGACTTAGGACATGGTTCCGCTTCCTATTGGACGAAAGGCTGTGGGTTGTCGTTGGGTGTTTACAGTCAAGCATAATCCAGATGGGTCAGTTGCTCGTTACAAGGCCCGATTGGTTGCCAAGGGTTATGCTCAGACTTATGGCATAGATTATCAAGAGACTTTTGCCCCTGTTGCTAAGATGAATACCATCTGTGTATTATTTTCCGTTGCTGCAATTCGATCTTGGCCTCTATTTCAGTTAGATGTCAAGAATGCCTTTCTTAATGGTGATTTGCAGGAGGAGGTGTACATGGTTCCTCCTCCGGGCTTTCGTTCTCCTGCTCATTCTAGTATGGTATGTCGTGTTCGTCGTTCTCTATATGGCCTCAAGCAGTCTCCTCGAGCTTGGTCTGATCGCTTTGGCACTGCTATGCTCAAGTTTGGTTTCCATCAAAGTGCAGCTGATCATACCTTGTTCTTACGTCATTCAGGCGGTAAAACAATTGCTCTCATTGTGTATGTCGATGATATTATTCTTACCGGCAATGATACTACCGGAATTAAAGAGGTTAAGAGCTATCTTGGCCGTCAGTTTGAGATTAAGGATCTTGGTCCCCTACGATACTTCTTGGGCATTGAGGTGGCTCGCTCCAAGACTGGCATTTTCATCTCTCAACGCAAGTATGTTCTTGACTTGCTTTCTGCTTCTGGTCAGCTTAGTGCTCGTCCTGCTGATACTCCGATTGAGTAGAATCATCGGTTGGCTGATTCTGAGGGGGAGTTGTTGTCAGATATTGGTCAGTATCAACGACTTGTGGGGAAGCTCATCTATTTATCCATGACTTGACCTGACATTGCTTATGCCGTGAGTGTCGTGAGTCAATTCATGCACTCTCCTCGTGCCCCACACCTTGATGCAGCTATTCGGATTCTTCGCTACTTAAAGGGTGTCCAGGCCGTGGTATTTTGTTTGCTAATCATGGTCACTTACGTGTTGAGGCTTGGACATATGCTGATTATGCAGGATCAATTTCAGATAGGAGGTCTACTTCAGGTTATTGTACCACTATTGGTGGTAACTTGGTTACTTGGCGCAGTAAGAAGCAGGATGTTGTCTCTCGATCTAGTGCAGAGGCAGAGTATAGGGCTATGGCTGAAAACCTTGATGACAGACTTGTGCCTTCCAGTGTAGCTTCCATTCTCACTCTACTGCGACAACAAGTCTGCCATTAGCATAGCAGCAAATCCCATTCAGCATGACAGGGCTAAGCATATAGAGGTGGACCGTCACTTCATTCGAGAGAAGATCATCTCTGGTCAAATTTGCACTCCATTTGTCACAAGCTCTCAGCAACTTGCAGACATTCTTATAAAGGGCGTCAGCAAGATTGTGTTTGAGAATGCATTGTCCAAGTTGGGCGTTTTAGATATCCACGCACCAACTTGAGGGGGAGTGTTAGCATTTATGATACCACGATTTATAGTATAACTTACCATAATAGCAGAGATTTGACTATGCATATAATAGCATATATATGATACCACGATTTATGGTATGACTTACCATAATAGCAGAGATTTGACTATGCTATAGAATATGCCATAGAATATGCTTTAGAATAAGTTGTGCTTTGATTTTGATTTGATTTAGTTTCCTTTCTTGTAATATGAGCATGTGCTCATTTTATCTATAAATACTAGAGCTGTGAATGGGTAATTGATCTCATTCAAGCCTTTACGCAATTCTCTCTTTTCTCTTCTTTTTATATATTTCTACTGGAACATATGCTGAAGCTGTGAGGAAGGATATGAGTGCATTGGATTTAAGTATTTAACTAGAGACATACTTATCAAAAAAAAAAGTATTTAACTAGAGACATGGCTTAACGAAGAGCCCATCGAAGACAACGGATTCATGTAGGCAACCCCTAGTAGTTCGAATTAAGATTTGTGTAGTTGATTTTTATGAGAATGATTGTTATATCCTTGAGTTTCCATCTTCTTTTTAAAATTTTGTGAAATGTTATTATTTTTAACTTCATATAATCTGAGCTTCTTCATGATACCATATTGATGGTGGTCCACAGATTTGTTCATGTCCAAGCGAGTGAGCTACTGTTGCTCGTGTCTTTCTTTTCTTATTGTTTTTGGTTAGTCACTGCTGACTATAATGCTTGATCCATGTATTTTTAGATCAATTGTTTGGAGGCCTATGAGGGCATAAACATTTAAATGGGGTAACTTGTTTGGTACCCAATTTTTATTGTGCTCTGATGCAGCACATACCCTTAAGATGTTAAGCCTATGTAAGAACATTTTGTTTCTTTTTAATTCCTTATGAATCCCTTTCCCAATCAAGGCCCAAGAGAATCGTCTATGAGGTGAGGTAATTGTCATGTATGTGATCAATTCTTTCACCTGAATACATGCTAGGAGAAAAAAATGTGGACAACATTTGTACTTGTCAGATGTGGTCAGGATTCCTTCTTTGTATATGCTATTTTCAAAATCTGGATTACACAATTCTGTATAATATTCAAAAGTGACTTGAATTCTTCCTTCTAAAAATGAACAGTTCCTAAACTGAAAGTAGTATAATGCATATAACATATCAAGATGTAGGTCATTTCAATGTCTGTAAGTTGAAGCACTTAAGTTAAGCTTCATCTAACAACTTCCTCTTTCTAATTTGTTTACAGATTCAGATTTTGCAATTAAATGTGGTGGTCAACAGTTCACTTCTTCTAATCAAGTTCTGTATGCGAGGGATAATGCGACTCTTGGTCCGGCCACATATAACGTGATTGACACAAAAAGGTGGGCAGTAAGTAATGTTGGACGCTCTGCCTCTGGAAGCAACCCTGTGTATACAATTGACTCATCATCCCAATTCACAAATACACTGGTTTCCGAGCTATGGACAGCTCGGATCTCTGCTGGATCGCTAAGGTATTATGGTTTGGGGCTAGAGAATGGTAATTATAATGTGATCCTCCAGTTTGCAGAGATGGCTATCCTAGGTTCTGCAACTTGGAGGGGTCTTGGGAGACGTGTTTTTGATATATATATTCAGGTTTGTACTGAGTTATATAATTGCGTTACAAACTGTGATTTGGCTATTATCTGGTGTAATGAAGCTTTTACTACTATGTTGATATTTACTACCCCTGCAGTATATTACGATTGACAATGTATGTCTATTATAGGGAACATTATAACGGGTTTCTCCAGATTTCAACAACAATAAAATTTTGTATTCACTGGCAATTCATGAATGACTATATTATCATGAGTTAAAATGCCATAGGATATAAACTATCATGATCATTTCAATTGTGATTCTTGGAAAGTGGATGATGCACAAATTTAACATTTGGTGTTATTTCCACCAAGTGGCTAGCCTTTTAGACTTGAACCTACACTTTCACACTCAACGACCTCTGAAAGGTTAAGATCAAAAAAAAAAAAAAAAAAAAAAACACTTGTACAAATACAGTTGCACTAAGCAATTTTACTTTTCAAATGCCACAAATACTTAAATTTTAATATCCAACTTTTTGATGGATAAGATTAAAGAATTATCCTACTGATAATTGATCACATAAGCTTATTTTTCCTAACATCTATTGCCTCTTCCTAATAACTTTTTGCACTTTTTACAATTATGCCAACTGCCTCCATGATTTCTTCACACAATGATCTATCAATTTTTTAAACCATTTAATGCTCAGATCAACTACTTTCTGAATATGTAGTATGTTTTTGATTCTGTTAAAAGTGTAATGAATGAAAATTTGATGTGAATTTCTTCTGATTCGTTGTCAACTTCTTTTTCCTCCTCCTCCTCCTCATTAAAAACTTGGTTTTAAGTCCTTTGCTTGTTCATTATAGGGGAATCAGGTTGAGAAAAATTTTGACATACGAAAAGAGGCAGGTGGGGTTTCTTTAGAATATGTTCTGAAGAATTATACGGCTCAGGTATCAGAGAACTACCTTGATATCCATCTCTTCTGGGCTGGAAAAGGGACTTGCTGTGTACCTACTCAAGGTACATATGGTCCGTCCATTTCAGCAATCAGCGCCTCCCCAGGTGATATGATTTAAACAAAAATTGATACAGTTAATGAGTTTGGATTTAAGTTTTTATTAAATTGATGCCAAATTATTGACAACCAAGCTTTTTTACAGACTTCAATCCCACTGTTAACAATATCCCTCCAACCACTGGTGGCAAGAAAGAGAACAGGACTGGTTTGATTGTAGGGATCGTTGTGGCTGTTGGAGTTGTGAGCTTTCTGTCTATATTTGCGGTGTACTATTTCGTTCAAAGAAGAAAACAGCCGTGCAACAACGAAGATGAAGGTAAAAAGGAAAAAGAAGTATGCTTAATATATTATTGAAACGTTGATTGCCTATGTTTGGTTATAATCTTTTACCAGAAATGAGTTTTGGATGCCACATTGAAACATGCTAAAAATATGTGCATTTATGCGCATTGACCACAAATTGGGCTTTCACAATATGATGTGTGTTTCCTAATCCAAAAACGCAGGAGGTATTATTTGAAAATCTTGCCATAACCCAAAAACTTCTCCCCACCCCACCCCACCCCACCCCGCCCCGCCCCGCCCCAAAAAATATTTATATGATAATAATAATGATAAATAAATAAGAGGAACCTTAATCCTCTGATTCTTTGAAGAAATGAGGGAGAGCAAGATAAATTCTTGACAATGGTAGCCACTTTTACCATTTCCTTTTGTTTTCGCCATTCTTTCGAAGAACGAATCGAGTACTGAAAGCAATAAGAAACATGAGTTCCCCAATTAGGGTTATTGACAACTTCCAGATGTGCTTGCCACCTGTTTCCCGTCTTCAATCAAACACCTTTGGATGGAAACCTCCATGAATGCTTTATAAGATAAATTTATAATTTATAGCATTTTAGTCATTCAAACGCACCACAAAAGGTATATGTTAGGATAGTGAGTCATCATCTGTGGCAAATTCCTACTTGAAACTTGGGTTGTATTGTGTGTCGAAGTCTTAAATCGTTCGTCTACAGTCACAAGAAGATGATGAAGATCAGCAAAGAACATGTCGAAAATCTCTCAAGCTCAATCACATATCTACGTTAAGGTAAGTTGAGATCATAGAGATCAATTATGACCTAGCTATGATCTTTAGAATGCTCAATAATTATGTTATAATGTTGTTTATCGGGTTTTTAATAAAACTATTTTAAAATGAGTTTCCAAACAGAATTTCTTACAAAACATTAGACCTCCATCACTGGTGATTGATTGAAATTTTGCAGGAATTTTTTTAAATTAAAATTCAATAAGCTTGCTTGATCGAAGCAGTAGTGACAGTGGTGCTTGAAGTGTCGGTCCATCCAATCTTGCAAAACCAGTTAATTAATTTTTTCCATAGTACTCCTATATTGGCTAAATTTGGGGTTAACTCCTTACATATTATTGAGAGATTTTATATTTGTAGAGAGAGCGCTCTGAGAATCATTTTAGGATTCTTTATTGATTACATACCAATGTATTTGAGGGAATCAAAGCAAGAAGCAGAATTGAAACTATATTTGACAGAGCATCAACTTGGTGGTTTGTAAAGAACAAGTTGAACTTGCGTCACTAATCATGGAGTTCAAAAGTCCAAAGAGAAGCAAATCGCTTGAGGAATGGATTTGTAAAACAGATCAGCTGCCGGAAGGATGAAAGAAATCTTGATCAAGTCAGAGTCAGGAGGGAGTAGGTGATTCTAGAGTTCGAAATCTGGTAGCTTAGTTGTTAAACCTTTTTCTCATAGTTGATTTTGATCTGCCTGGACCAAGCACTTTTTTTTTTTTGTTGTTGTTGTTGTTGTTGTTGTGTCTGCTTTATATTATTTATTGCTTTGTGTTTACATGATTGCTATTGAGACGCGATCAAATTAATTAACTGAACTTTAAATAAGAAATGATGGTAATTCGAAAAGAGAGTTGCAAATTAATATCCATAATGCCTATTCACCCCTCTAGATCTAATTAGCTGTAATAATCTGACCTATTGTTAGAGCCTTTGGTAACGGTCTCATATTCTTAGTACGATCTCTTTTCATTTAATATCTCATCTTACAATAAAATAAATAAATAAAAATGATTTTTATTGAATTTGCAGTGCTTCTAGGAATAGATGCTAGACCACACACATTCAGTTATGCAGAACTGAGGGCTGCAACAGAAGATTTTAGTCCTGATAATAAGCTTGGAGAGGGTGGATTCGGACCAGTTTATAAGGTAAGTAATTCTTTCTTTCAAGGAAAATCAAGTGGTGGAGCACTTCATACTGGTCCATTAATGAGACCATAGCACCTTAGTTATGAAATTTTGCGGAATAAGGTTACCACTTACCAGTGTCAATCATCTGACTTAAAAGAAAATTTTCTGTTAAGATTTACTGAAATTGCTTCTCAGTTATGAACTTTGACTTAATGAGTCCACAGCACCTTTTGTTTTTAGATATTCCTTCAACTGCAACTTAGCAGTATTACACCATACCATCACATTCCGTGCTATCATTTGAGAGGGGCAGGCCACTGCAACTGTTACGGAATAAAGATATTGCAAATTCTGAACATGTGCTGATGAAGCAAATATTGTACAAAAAACCATATTAATAATGTCACGTGTCCTTTTCATTTCCATATAGGGAACACTCAATGATGGGAGACTGGTTGCTGCGAAACAACTGTCTGTATCATCCCACCAAGGGAAAAGTCAGTTTGTAACAGAGATTGCTACAATATCTGCTGTACAACACCGTAATCTTGTAAAATTGTATGGATGTTGCATTGAGGGAGATAAAAGACTTCTTGTTTATGAGTATCTTGAAAACAGGAGTCTTGATCAAGCCTTATTTGGTAAAAATTGATTGAAACTTACAGCTTTATATAATAATAATAATAATAATAATATTAGTGTAGATACAGATAAAATTTTCAATTATGTTCGGCATTTATGAAACAGGAAAGAGAAGTCTGAATCTTGATTGGCCAACCCGTTTTGATATATGCTTGGGAGTAGCAAGGGGTCTAGCTTATCTTCATGAGGAATCACAGCCTCGAATAGTTCACAGGGACATGAAGGCCAGTAATATTCTGCTTGACTCTGATCTCAATCCCAAAATTTCCGATTTCGGTTTGGCCAAACTTTATGATGACAAAAAGACCCACATTAGCACTCGTGTTGTTGGAACAATGTGAGATCTTCAACTGTCAATCTCCATACTATTCATTCATATATATATATATTTCTAATTACTGATATCTGTATTTTGTTAATAGTTAAGTAATAACTAATTAGTGGTGACTTTTCTGTTGGTTACTGGTGAAGTGGATATCTTGCACCGGAATATGCCATGCATGGGCACCTTACAGAAAAGGCTGATGTGTTTGGCTTTGGCGTTGTAGCTCTAGAGATTGTTAGTGGAAGGCCAAATTCTGACACAAGCTTGGAAGAAGAAAAGACATATCTACTTGGATGGGTATGCTATTGACTTCTTTTCTACTCCTTACACGTTGCCAATGGCTCTAGTTTTAACAACAATTTATTGCTCAACCCCTTAAACTTTGGATCAAAAGGTTATCTAAACCTAATAGTACCGAATGATTGTGAAGTTTTTAGCATAATTCATTATTTTTGAACAGTTCCTTTCATCTTTGACTGATTTAAACATTTCCTGGTCCTAGACATGGCACCTACATGAGAACAAACGTGAAACTGAGCTGGTGGATCCCAATTTATCTGAATTCAACGAGGAAGAAGTAAAACGAGTCGTTGGTATAGGTCTTTTGTGCACTCAAACATCACCGCTGCTGCGCCCATGCATGTCACGTGTAATGGCAATGCTTTCAGGAGATGTTGAAGTAAGTGCTGCAACTACACAGCCGGGATACCTGACTGACAGGAAATTTATTGATACATCCAGTTTTATAAGCAGTGATATTTCTGCAGTTGCAATAAATGATAATACCCACTACATCTCATCATCAGGCACAAGCATGATGGCTGATGCAGACTGCTCACCAGGGACTGGGACTTCACCCATCCTTCATGATTTCATCAGAAGTAATTGAGAATTGTGTTTCTCTTTAAAAAAAAAAAAAACAGATATGTATTATGTGCGAGCACACAACATTATATTCTTGATTTGTAAAATGATTCTTGCCCCTTTCGAACCTTAAATTCTCTAGTTCCTTACCTCAGTTATATGTATTGGATTTTGGTCAATGTTAATATGGAATGATTGATTTCATGACAATGGTAATGGTTGGGTAATTCACATTATGCTGCCACTGAATCAAATTGTTTGTTACATTCCAAAATATCTCCATGGATGTATGAATCAATTGATACAGGAACCCGGCCTACTGTTTGAAATGGGTGGAGCAGATAAAGATGAAATGTGTTGTGGCAATAAAGCCGTATTGGCTATTATGTGCATCCAACCTGCCGGTCCTTAAATTTGTTTCAGAAACCTGATATCAGCAAAATATGGGACATAATCAGCCAAAACTGAACCAAATGAATTAGTGAATGGGTGGAATGGGTTAGAGAATAGGTTGAAGTTGAGCATCAGGTAGCATTATCTAAAGCCCACGTCAATCCGTAATCCACAAGAGATGCGGCTAGCTCCCTGCACACACTCAGCATGTTGAAATGCAGGATCAGAATCCTCTCTACACTTTTTCCCCGTTGCAGTGTTTCACCAATGACCATTGTAGTGGTGACCAGTTTTTACGTGATGAAATTCGAAGTATAATTAATACGTTTCGTGTGGTGTGGGATACTTCGTGCCAGAGAGAATTTAAATTGAGAAAGCAATGTGGGACAACGGAAGTACAACAAAATCCCTCTTCTTCTAATAAGGGCTCCCCAAATTGGTTGCAAATGAAACATTTGCATCTATATATTTGTACAACTTTATTGTTTTGTCATCTAGATTCTTGAATAAGGAATACAACTTTCTAAAGACACTAGATTCTATTAGGTCAAATTCAATGGGATTTGTACATTGTCTTCTGAATTGAAGTGCTCTCTCTCTTCTGTTGAGACAATCACTCTTTTTAGCACATACATGCATAATACAAAATACATCATCAAGCGGATTGCGAGTTACATTATAAATAGTCTAAATTCATTATTTTGTCGCCTCGAACAAATAATCCACAATCAAACAAAGCTTAGAAATGCCACAAAAAAACAAATAACAAAAAAATGCAAATTTATTTCATTATATTCTCCGTAAGGGCTCCCCAAATTACAAAAGCAGAACAGTGCATTCTGCTATTTCCAGACCTCCACACATCCCAATTTTCTGCTGCTAAGAGTAATGACAGAAACCAGTAACTTCTGCCACCCCCAAAAGTGATACTGATCAAACTTCAAATGAAGAGTTAAATGAAAGGTAAAAAAAAGCCAATTTCAATCAACAAAATGTAACAACATATTCCCATTTAATCCAATCTAACAATTACCCATTTCCAAAAACCAAAAACCCAATATATTTCTGAAATTGATGCTTGTATTGAAACCCTAATTACAGAGAATAATCCTTGTGAGTGCAAGTACCAGGCAAGACACAGTGAAGAAGAAGAGAGTGACAAAGTCCCTAGCTGACCATTTTCGGACCGGTTTGGCTTCAACCCTCAAGCTCTTAGCCCTCCTGAGCGCGTCCACCTCCTTCAACAAATCGAATTCGACACCTTTTCTCTTCAACTCCTCAACACATCTGGCCAAGAGCTTCATATCCTCTTTCTCTCTCTCCAAAAGCCTCTCCAAGTGGCCCTCGACGTCGGTCTTGTATCGGACGGCCCAGATGATCCCGAGAGAGCAGAGGAGGGAACAGAGGGATGGGATCCAAGATCTGTGGCAGGAGAAGGAGGACTCACCTTGTGAAGAAGAGGCAGAGAAGAGGAGGATGAGAGATGTGGAGTGGAAGAGGAAGAAGAAACAGTAGAGTTGGGTGATCTCTTTGCGGGCACTGTCGATTTGGGTCTCTTTGAGAGCGATTCGTCCGAGGATTAGTTCTTCTTCCTTGAGCCATTGCTTCAGAAGAAGCTTGTGGGTGGGTGTTTCTGCGATTTGGTGAAGTGGGTGTGAAGGCTTTGACTCCATTATTGCTGTGCTGGTAATGTTCTGATCAGCCATGTATTAGCATGAGAGAGAGAGAGAGAGAGAGAGAGAGAGATAGAGAGAGAGAATCGGGGAAGCGAGACACAGTAGGGGGAGCGTCTTTAAAGTTTTAAACGGTCTACTGAATTTTGAATTTTGTAACGGTCGAATTGGGGAAAGATGCACGGTAGGTTTCCGGAAGTACCCCTGGCCTAAAATTGAATTATGTTAAAATCTTAAGCCTCCTAACTAGAAATTTTAAATATTATCAGTGCATGAAATTACTTATCTAACCCTTGTCAACAATTTTAGCACTTTTTTATTATTATTAATATGAAAAAAAATAGAAAAATATAAAAAGGAAGATGACACATAATAAATTTGATTAAAAAAAATTTAAAACTATTTTTGAACATTTTTTATATATGAAAAATAAAAATCAATTTTGTAAAAGAAAAAGTTATCACTAGAATGCTCTCATGTGAGTTTGCACTCTTGGTCGATTAAAAGTCAGTGAATATGTTCTCTCAATTCAATAGCTCCGCATGAACTCATGTAAGAGCATTGTTACAATAGATTCATTATTTTAGAAAATTACTAAAAAACTATTCACATTTTCAATAAAATAAAAAATAAAAATTCAAGAGTAAATGAAAACAATATTTTATATCAACCTCTTTCAAATGTTTCTATCATCTCCCTCTTCACAGTGCACTAAGCAAAAACATGAAATACAAACAAAAATGCTACAAAATATGTCCTTTTTACAATCGTGTGTGTGTGTTTTTAGTGGCAAGTATTTCAATAATAGTGTTTTGAGGACATTTTCATATGTAGTAGTGCATGTGTAACTGAAATACATTTTAGATTCAAAATATGCCCATAAGTTGAGAGTATCAGCATACAACAAAGCACAAGTTCAAGCATTCATTGTCAAACAAGAAGGAAAAAGAAACTTGAAGTGGAAATTACCCCTTATGTGATACTAGTATTTAGTATAAATAAAGAGGGTACAATATAATACACATATGACATATATATATATTACATAAAAAGTGTTGTTTTCTTTTCTTTCATATTTCCTATTTCTATTCTTCTCCCAGTTAGGCAGACAAAGAAGTGATGCTGCTACAACTTTCATTCAACATCCACCCCCTTGTACTTGAAGTAAAAAACTCAGGACATTCTTTTTGCCTTCTATCTGCCATAAGCACCCGAAAAAAGCCATACCTTCCCCTCCCTTGTGTATAATGTAATCGCATTTCACAGCTGCATAACCTACATTGGTTAAGGCCAAAAACACTCCAATCTTATTCTTGAATGCTCTGGCACCAGTATATGCTTGTCGCGCGAAAACTTTAGACATGATAAGCTATTCCAACTTCAATCAGTGAGGTATGAGGAATCCCAAGAGCAATTGCTGGTCGTCTGCAGTTGCGTCTGAGAAAACCATAGACGATATCAATGGCAAACTTCTTCAGGAAAGACGACGACTCAATAGCCACAACATAAGTATTGCCCGTAATGTAAGCCACACCAGATTCCTTTGCCTCCATGAGTTCATTCGCCTCCTCACTTAGTCCCAACTTTTGTGACCCCATTTTTCTTCTTCGGCCAGCACCAGACTCCTCTCCCGACGCATTAGTCAGAAGTCCTGATGGTTGTATAATAATTTCCAGTTCTATATCATGCAACTCTCTTTGCAAAAAGTCTGCTACTTTTTCAATCAGTTGGGTTTCAAAATTGTAGCTGTCCCTCACATCCTTGTATCCATACCTGATGATCATAACATACTCTGAAAGAGTGAAAAAAAAAAAAAAAAACTAGTTAGGAATTCAAAAAGTCTAAGCAATATGCACCTTACTATACACCAAAACAGATAGAATTCTCGGGGGCCAATCCTCCCAACAACGAAACGATCAGCATCAAGAACTTTGGGGACCATCAATGACTCGAGGGTTACAAAGATGAGGATCCGATGGAAGGCAGGGAAGTTTGTTACAAAATGGGTGAACATTGGCGGGATACCAGAGGCCAGATTGGAGTAAATTAGGCCGATACCAGGAACCCTTTTAATACCGAGGCTTGGGCCAAGACAAAGGAGCTTGTCTAAGGGTACCTTGTTCTGCAGCTCAAAGGCATGTTTCATTGATGTCCCATATTGCCAGGCCAACATCAGGGACACTATTACCAGAGATAAGAGAAGGGAAAGCCAGCCTCCTCTGTGTACTTTGGCAAGGCAAGCAGAGAAGTAAAGCAGCTCCACAGATCCAAAAACTAGTACAAACATTGTCGCGCCAAGGACATTTCGCTTCCAAACTGTAGTAATAATAAGAAACATCAAGCAAGTCGTAACAAACATCACCATAACCACAGCAAGGCCTGTAAAGACAATGAAAATAAGATCAAGCACCTAAGTTGAAGCTCTTTGACACACACACACACACACAGATAGAGAGAAGAGTGAGGAAAACAAACCGTATGCATTGCCAATCAGATGGGTGTCCCTAAATCCAATCACAACAGCAAGACACGATACCATCAGAATCCAATTCACCTCAGGTATATAAATCTGTCCATGGATTTGGCTTGATGTGTGCACTATTTTCACACGCGGGAAGCACCTCAGTGCCCTGCACTGACTAATAATTGAGAAAGTGGCTGAAATAATTGCCTGACTCCCCACTGCAGTTGCAAGAGTTGCGATAATGAAAACTGGCCAAAATACACTCTCTGCATGGAATGAGAAACAAGATAAGAAATAAAGTGTCAAGAAATTGTGCCGAAACTTTTAACATTGTTGCAAATCATAAAATGTAATAAGTATATGAAATTCTAAACAATTGCATAGCATTGAGTTTGTTTTCAATTGACAGTAAGCGCAAAAAGTATAGCTGAACAACTTCTGTCATTCAGATTGTAGGACTTACCCGGGATGGCCTTGTAGAAACTACTTTGGAGATCCATTTTGTTCTTGGATAGATAAGCAGCTTCACCCATGTATGCCAAAACTAAGCAAGGGTAAACAACTCCTATAAATGCAACCTGCCAGTGGAAGGCGGGAAAGGAAAAATTAATAAATACAAATGAAGTATATGAATAAAACCTATTGCAAGTAGAAATGAACAAAGATAAAAGGATAAAAAAATATGGACATCTTTGTTTGATTAAAATAGTTCAGAAAATAATAATGATCATAATTTCTAGGGAAGTTGGAACCTAAAAAAGGAGCCCATTTAGAACATTCTCTCTTCTGAAGATTTCTAATTTCATTTTCCTGAAATTTTTTCTCCCAAAGCATGAAAATTGGAGGAAAAAGAAAATCACCCTGACAGAAAGTGGGGAGAAATGACCGAGATCGGCAAACATAGCTTCTGCACCTGATAGAACAATGATTAATTTTGAGCCTCACCAGAATAGGTGGTTGTTGAAATGATACGTGAGATTTATGAAATTTATTTCCTAGCGACGAACCTGTGACACAAAGAACAACACCTCCAAGGGAAGTCCATCCATCTTTTCCAGCTTTCTTGAAAAAATTGTACACATAATATGGTGACAAAGCACAGACCACACGAGGATTCCAATGTATTATGTTGTAAATGCCTACACCACTAATGAATACGAGCCAAGCTATCACGATTGGAGCGAAAAGGAAGCCTACTCTGTCTGTTCCATAGTGCTGAAGAGCAAAAAGACCCACCAAGATAACGCAGGCAATGAACACAGTATAATCTGGCAGAATAAGATTATATAAGAGTACTTAAACCATAAGTACTGTGAAGCCTTGGTAACCATCAAGAATCCTCCTCAGTTCTCAGTCATATATGCATATCCAATTAAAATTACAATATATTGACTTTTCAACAAGAATATGAGTGATTCCTTCACTTACACATCCTCTTTAAAGTTTAAATTGCCATTGGAAATCTTGAGATCTTACAATAGCTTCTCTAAACCCAACCATATAAAGATTCTATGTTCCAACTCTATTCCCATGTCTTGAAAGCAATCAAATGGAGCACTAATTAAAATAAAAGTTGCTAATGGAACTTACTTTCATGCAATTCTGGAACCTTAACTTTAATTCCATTGACTGCAGAAAGGACTGAAACAAAACAAAAAGAAGATGTCAACAATTGTTTTCCGAGTATAAAACTACTATTGTTCAATTATTCTTGGAAAATATAAATGCAAAACTCTTTGATTCATTTAGATTTCGTACCAGACATTGTAGGAGTCAAGATTCCATCACCGATAACCATGCTAGTCCCAAGCAGAACAACTAGCAGCAACACAATGCGGGAACTCTGATGCTTTGCAAAGAAGTCCTTTATAAGTAAGCTAGTTCTAGTGTCCTTGGTAGAAGTTCCAGAATTGTAAGAAGACACACACTCATTTGCAGCACGGGAAGAGCTCAAAAGCCCCACCTTTGAGTGCCGGCACAAAAGTGAATACAAAGCAAAGGTTCCACCTATAAAAACAACACTCTCTTCAAAAGCTTATTACACATACTGAGAAGATGTTGTTTATAATTTGAGTCATTGTGAGCACCTTCACCATTGTCGTTGGCTGCCAATACAAGTATAATGTATTTGCATAGAGGAATCAAAGTCAAAGTCCAGAAAACCAGAGAAAGTACCCCAAGAATTTCGTGGTCTTCTTTGTAAGGGCGCAAGCTTCCAGTGAATGTGCTGTGGTAGACATAAATGGTGGATGTACTCAGGTCACCATAAACAATTCCAAAGCTCTGGTAGGCCAGACACAAAGTGTTCTTGAAGAATTTCTGCAAAAAAGGATAGAGAAAAGGGTTAAATTTGTTAAAATAATAAAAATGATAATAGCATATTAGAGGAGATATTGACTATAAAAACTAGACGCTTAAACTAGGGGCTGTTGGAACCTCATAAACAAGGGCAGTTCAGAATTAGAGTGACACTTTTGAAAAACATATATAGCTTGCCAGATTTTCTATAGCTGTGCAGTGGTTTTCAAAAACAAATTGTCGGGTTGGTTTGTTGTGAGATTGAATGAGGTGGACACTGCTGAAACGACTTAGGCCTAATTTTTGTAATGCAAATAGCCTCCCCAGACTCTACAATGATGGGAGCCTCGTGTATTGGGCTAGCCCCTTAAATAGTCTTGGAAGACAACGAAGTAAAAGATAGTCTATCTATTGGATACGAAGAATATTTCAGTAAAAAACACATGTATTAGTCAAAGCATACAACAAATCGTCTATCTATTGGATACGAAGAATATTACAGTAAAAAAACATGTATTAGTCAAAGCATACAACAAATCCATTTAGGTGCAACCAAACAAAGGGTTGCTAAAAATATATAAAAATAAAAGAACCATTCAAATTAGTCTCCTTTCCCTCCATCTTCTTCAAGCCATAAGAAACAAAACAATGGCTAAAGATGTAAGAGAAAATAACACCCAAGTATTTTATATCTTGGTGAAAGGGGAAAGAAAGTACAAAAATCATACAACAGAGAAGTCAAAAATTAGAAGCTTATGATCAAAATTAATTAAGTACCCTGAAATATATTGAGTAATAACAAGAGAAGATATGCAATAATAATAAGTATACATGCAATGGGGGTTTTTAATAATAGATATAGAACAATATATATATATAGACAAACACAGATTACAAGTGGCTAGTCGGATGGGTTGATTCTTTGTTACTAAATAAATAATAAAAATACCATGCATTGAAGATAAAAATTCAAAATTGCAAAAAAATAAAATTCTTATAGATAAACAGAGCAAGGACTAAGATTAAAATGAATAAGAATTCAAATTACTCTTCACAACTGCAAAAGAAATAATGGACAAAACCAACTACAAATAATACAATAAAACAAGTACCATACAATAAATCTAATAGCGTGTAACAGAGAAGCACTTACTAGTCGATTCATAGTACCGTAATCCGTATCCATTTTTCTCAAAACCCAAGTCCAAAATTCAAGATTTCTCCGAAAAATTATAAAAATTTCTTGATATGAAAGATGTTCCGGTGAAGTAGTGGACCAATTTGTGAATATCTCTGTTTTCTCTAACGTTAGAGAATACTATAAGAATCGAATTAGAGATTCTTAGCGTGTAACAGAGAAGCACTTACTAGTCGATTCATAGTACCGCAATCCGTATCCATTTTTCTCAAAACCCAAGTCCAAAATTCAAGATTTCTCTGAAAAATTACAAAAATTTCTTGATATGAAAGATTTTCCGGTGAAGTAGAGGACTAATTTGTGAATATCTCTGTTTTCTCTAACGTTAGAGAATACTATAAGAATCGAATTAGAGATTCTCTGCAGTCAGAATCTGTAATTTTCTCTCTCTTCCCAACTACGAAAGCGTCATCAATGGCAGTAAGAGAGAGAGAGAGAGACAAACTTGGGAAAATGAAAACAGAGGGGAGAGAGGGAGAGAAAGGAGGGAGAAGAGAGAGTTCAACTTCAAAGGTTTTTTTTGATATCAACTTCAAAGTTCAAACAAGAGAAACGTGATGGATTTTTATGGTCAATGTAAACGAAGATATGTATCCACGTGGCAGAATGTTAGTGAAAACTGAAAACTCACTGGGTTGTTTTATTACGGAGTATTATTTTTTTGGAAAAATGTTTAACCCTCTCACCACTACGTTGAATCTAACAAAAAAACAAGAGTGCACCACAATGTCAACCAGTCTGAATTCTTGGATCTGCACGGCGCTGTAATATCGTAGTACAATTACTTTAAGCATGCAATCAATTATGATATATATATATATATAAGGTCAATATACTAAAATTTTGAAAATATAATACAATTATGTTTTTGATAATGTAACACAATTAAATTTAAATTGCACCAAGGTTCATGTCTAACACACTTATGTCAAGCATGCAATGAACCAGCTCAGTCTATACGATTAATTGATCATGCTTTTATTATAAGTTTATTCATCGATTAATTATGTTTTATCCTTGAAATATTGTGGTGTATGCTTGACAAATTTGTATACCATGTAAAAAAGAGTAAACCAGAGGATTCAGGCTTGTAAACAAATAGAATAACAGGTAAAAAAAATGATTTATAGGTAGAATAGAATTGTGTTGGATAAGTAGAGTTCTAGTTAAAAATATATATATATATATATATTTGTGTTACATATAGGTAATATCGCGTAATTGGATAAAATTTCTTTCACACTTCAAAAAATTTGTGTTATTGTCTATAGTCGCCATTATGACTAACAATATTCAAGAAAAAAAAAATTAAAATTTATTCTAAGGTTTGCAAAGAGGAGCCCCAATTTAATATGGAAATGAATGAAAAACCCTCTTTTTGGACATCAATTAGATTTTTAAACCTTTTACTCCGTAAAAGATAATTTTTTTTTTGCCTGAAAAATAAAATGCATGCACTATACTTGTGTAGACTTCTCGTTGACAAGTGCAATATCCAAACCACCTGGGCGAATAGGATCGCTTAGTCACGCTTCATAATTGGAAAAAATGAGCACCCTGAAAATACACACTCATGGAGTTTTTTTAATTAGTGAAAATATAGTCAAACTTTATGGCATAAGCAGCACACAATGTGAACTTTCTACTTGAAAATAAACAAATAAATAAATAAATTAGACTTTTGCTTTTCCCTTTTGACCAAGAAGTCTTTTTGATATGACAAATTCCTCAAACTACTCTTTACCCTTTATAATTTATTTATTTATTATTATTATTATTGTTGATGCCAAAAATTTACATGCTCCGGAGCCCTCCGACGGTCAAGTTAGTACTCGACCATCAAATATTCGATAAGCATTACATATGAAATTTATAGCATACCTTTTTAGGTTGATTGATCATTTCTTTTATCGAAGCATTAATGGTAGTAGTTGTTGAAGCGAGATTCTCCCTGATCTAAGATGATATTGTTCCTTTCTTACAGGAATGGTAACCAGATATTTTTTATGATTTCATAGAGATTTTGGGTAAGATAAATCCTTTACCTTATCTTATTTCTCTTTGAGTTGCCTATTATTTTTATCCTTATCAGTTGCCTCCCATTCTCGTGCTTGCTTGTCAAGAATCGAGAATGTCAAAGTATTTTTTGGAGTGACGTCTCTTTGGCATAAATCAATCTCTTTTTAGGTTAACCCTTGTTGGACGGCCTTTTTTTGGTTGATCTCTTAAGATTTGCCAGAACTTCATGAGCTGGGGGAGTAGGCTTTCTTAAGCTGAATGAGCTTACCTTTTAAAAAAGGGAAATATATTTATGAGTTTTACTCAGCTCGCCCCTTAAAAAAGGAAAATATATTTTACGAGTTTCACTCAGCTCGCCCTTTAAAAAGGGAAGTATATTTACAAGTTGATTTCGACCCCTTTTAATACGGAGGACAACAATTACGAGCTTCATTCAGCTCGGGCCCTTATAGTACGGGGCACTTTTATATCAATCCATTATAATACCGAGATGGTAATTACGAGTTTCATTCAACTCGCCCTTTAAAAAGGAAAATATATTTTACGAAGACAACAATTACGAGCTTCATTCAGCTCGGGCCCTTATAGTACGGGACACTTTTATATTAATCCCTTATAATACGGGGATGACAATTACGAGCTTCATTCAACTAGCCCTTTAAAAAGGGAGTAGGTTCTCCAAGCTTCATGAACTTATCCTTTTAATATGGGAGGTTCATCCTCGTGGGTTTCGTCATCTCATCTTTTTAAAAAGAGAGATTAATTTTCCAGAGTTTCGTGAGCTCGTATATTTAATAAGAGAGGTTAATTTTCTGCCCCCATTCCCAAGCTTGTACAGTTTGAACGGATAATATATATACATATTTATATATATCAGAATTGGTACAATTAAGGCAAAAACTTATCATTGAGCATCAATGGAGCTAGCGATTGTTCTCTAGAATAAGAATTTTATTTTATTTTATTTTATTTATTATTTTTTTTTTTTACACCATGTGAATAGTACCCGCGGGCACTATTCATGTGAATAGTCCTCACAAAATAAAATTTTTTTTTTCAAACCCTATGAACAGTACCCACAAAGCATAGTATTCTATCGAAGGGTCCCCAGGTGAACTACATCATTATGTAGGTGAACAATATTTTGCAGACAATTGGAAACATATAAAAAATTGTTTCTCTTTAAATCATGTGAGGAAGTGTAGACATATATTTTGATATACGCGTAATGCATGAAACTTATCCGGTTAATAGCGATGAAGAAACAACTGCTAGCGGTCGGGTGGGGCTTTCCAGCAATTTTACTAGATTGAGCAACTGTACCCTTGCTTTTGGCCACGCAATCCATGAACTATTCTCTTTCTTTTAGAGAAAGCCAGATTGTAAAGGGACTGAATTGCTTTTAAGTTTTGTCGTATATTATTGCTTTTAAGTTTTGTCGTAGATTATTGCTTTTAAGTTTTGTCGTAGATTATTGCTTTTAAGTTTTGTCGTAGATTTTCCTTGTCCTTGTACAAACCATAATTTGTTGGGACTAATATACGTTCCCACAGACGGCGCCAACTGTTGATGCCAAAAATCTACACGCTCCGGAGCCCGTGACGATTCCGGTAAGACAAGAGAAGTGATGACCAGTGTGGTGCCGGCCGGGTGCCCTCTGACGGTCAAGTTAGTACTCGACGATTAAATATCCGATGAGCATTACATATGAAATTTATAGCGTACCTTTTTAGGTTGATTGATCATTTCTTTTATAGAAGCATTAATGGTAGTAGTTGTTGAAGCGAGATTCTCCCTGATCCAAGATGATATTGTTCCCTTCTTACAGGAATGGTAACTCTGGTTACATATGGTAACCAGATATTTTTTATGATTTCATAGAGATTTTGGGTAAAATAAATCCTTTACCCTTATCTTATTTCACTTTTGACTCTGAGTTGCCTATTATTTTTATCCTTATAAATTATTATTATTTTGGTTGATAAATACCCTTTATAATTTCATAATTATGTATTTTCAAATTATTGAATATTTAAAGCCAATTTTAATTTTCTCTAAAAAGTTCATATATTCTCTGTAATAGCACAAACCAATCCTCCGCTATCGTATGCTAATATAATTCAACATCAATTGTCAGCTCCATAAGGTAACATTTTCCTAACATTATGTAATTTATTTGACCTAAACAAGTCCTCAAATACGTTTTACATAAGTAAAAAGTCCACAAAGATGGATGCTGCTTTTTCACCATAATATATTGAATTATTCTTCGTTTATATACAAGTTATTATGCATACTTAATTATTTTTGGATTTGAGTATTCTGAAGTGCAGTGTGAAAGTTACTTGTCAAGATGATGATGGAAAATAATAATAATAATAATAAAATCTCATATTAAATTGTAATTGGACTGTATCAATATTCATGTCAAATTTTTGAAAGGTAAAAAAAAAAAAAAAAAAAAAAAAATCAATCCTTTAAGTTTCGCTCCTAGTTGATGACTTCACATACAATCATATACTATCTCCGTTCCAAAAAATATGTCGCGACGGTTCCTCAAACGCAACATATTTGATGGAACGGAGATAGTGTATATACATATATGTGTGTGTGTGTGTTTGTGTTTGTGTGTGTGTGTGTGTGTGTTAGAAATGAAGGTCAATATATAACAATTGAATATAAGTCCATATATAACAAATGAAGGTCAATTTAAAACAATTGAATATAAGTCAATATATAACAATTGCATATATGTGTGTGTGTGTGTGTGTTAGAAATGAAGGTCAATATATAACAATTGAAAGTACATGAAATGTACTCTTGGTACCCCTACATTTTTAGAACTTTTGAATGAGAATTCATGACTTTGATAGAAACCAAAAAATTAAAAAATAAACACAAAGTCACTTTCAAAAATTTATTTATTTCACACACACACAGACACAGACACACACCCACACCCACCCACCCATTGTGTTGAATTATTTTACAATCTAAATGGGCTAAGTTCTTCGCTTTTGGGCTATCCAACCTAATAATAATGGTCGAAGTTGGGCTATCTAAATTTGTATATCTAATATGGACAAATCAAAATCAAAACACGACCATACTCATCAAAAGAAGTAAAAAAATCAACAATATTGGGTGAGTGAAATTATATTCCAAATCTATCAATTTCCTTCAAAATTGAAGTCTTCTAGGATATTTTTGGATCTTATATCAGACAATTTAGTCCAGCTAATTAAATTTGATTTGAAATTTGCTTCAAAACAGATGTGACCATAGTTTGAATTTGTTGAAACTTGAAAGTTGTACCACAAGAAGAATCTATTAAGTATGAACACAAGAACTAGGTATTGACTTAAATCTTTAGCATTATTTGATCAAAAAGATTGACATCATGTCTAAATATGTATTTTCACACTTAACAGAGTAGAGCTTTCTACAATTTTATTGAAATTAGACGAGCTTTCTATGCAGAAGTAACCCTAGAAATAATC